CTCTCTCTCTCTCTCTCTCTCTCTCTCTCTCTCTCACACACACACACAGAGCAGACTTCAGCCCCTCCAGCAGGGGGCAGCAGGGAAACACACAGACACACACACGCTGGTGCATGGCAGACACACAGTGCAGATACCAGACACACAGTTCAGGGACCAGATATTCTGGGTGCATGGGACAGAAACACGGTGCCGAGACCAGACATGCTTGGAGCATGGAGCACAGAGACCAGACACACTTGGTGCATTGCATAGACACTGTGCACAGAGCAAACACACTCAGTGCATGGCGCAGACACATGGTGCACAGACCAGACACGTGCGAGGTATGGCACGGACTCACTGTGCAGAGATGAGAAACGCTGGGTGCACGGCACAGACCCACAAGGCAGAGACCAGACACGCTCAATGCACAGCACAGACACAGTGTACAGGCCAGATACACTCAGTGCACGGCACAGACACAGGGTGTAGAGATCAGACATGCTCCGCACATGGCACAGACACAGGGTGCAGAGATCAGATAGGCTCAGGGCGTGGCACAGACACATAGTTCACAAACCACACACATTCACTGCAGGGCACAGTCACACATTACAGAGACCAGAAATGCTGGGTGCTTAGAATAGACACACAGTGCGGAGATTAAACATGCTCAGGGCATGTCACAGATACACTGTGCACAGAGCAGTAACACTCGGTGCATGGCACAAGCACACAGTGCAGAGACCAGACGTGCTCGGTGCATGGCACAGACACATGGGGCAGAGACCAAAAACTTTGGGTGCATGGCATAGACACACAGTTCACAAATTAGACACACTCAATGCATGGCACAGACATACAGTGCAGAGACCAGTGCTCGAGGCACAGACACACCCTGGGTAGCAAAACATCGTGGCCTGGCCCTGACTCCAGATTCCTGCTGTTGACAGCTGCTACTTGCTCCCCCATGGGGACGACTTCCAACAGGATCCCAAGGAGCCAGAGGTCCGCAGTCCAGGGCAGTACCCAGAGTTAAAAACAGGGAGCATACCTCCTCTTGAAGTCCAGTAGCAATTCAATTCAAGATAGCCAGAGCTGCGGGGGGGGATTTAAAGGGAGCAGCGGTGGGGAGCTCTGAGCCCTCTAAATCCTGGCCCCAGCCTGGCTCCAGGCACCAGCCCTCCAAGCATGTGCTTGGGGCAGCACCTGGACGGGGGCGGCGCTCACCCGGGAAGAGCAGGGCCGCGGCCGGGCTCGCCGCCCTCCCCCCGGCACTCCAGCTGGCCAGGAAGCGCGGGGCCGCCCTCCCCTGGCGCTCTGGCCGGCAGGGGAGAGCAGGCCCGCAGCCAGGCTCGCCGTCCTTCTCCCGGCGCTCTGGCCCGGTTGGGGAGAGTGGGGCCCCGGCCGGGCTCACCTCCCTCCCCGCAGCGCTCCGGCCAGCCGGGGAGAGCGGGGCCATGGCCGGGCTCGCCGCCCTCCCC